AGAATATTTAAAGGTCCTACTGATGAGGCTGTTAAGAAAGACCAGATCTTGGTAGGGGAAGGGTCAAACATGATCCGGGGTACACACCCCTCCTACAGAAACAAGGAGATAGAAGACAACCTATTACAGAGCATGACAAGCGGCAGAATATTACTAAACTGACTAAACTGCAGTTCATGTTTTTGTACTGTCATTGTTTAAGCAACCAAAATGAAAACAGATACAAAGTTAGAGCACACTTTTGTGTCTCTGTGTGTGTGAGAGAGAGTCCCCTCCCATCTGGATTTGGAAAAACTACACAAACTAGAACTCTTTAAAACCATTCCATTCCACAACGTGTCTTCCTCCTCTTGTAAGCACTCTTGCCAACAAAATCCTCAATAAGTATTCTTTTTGGTAACTTCTGTTTAAAATTTCCAATCAAAAGTAATATAAACACTGTATGAATTCTTAGTTCCGTTGGTTGGAAAATTACACTGTGTACATATTGAGTTTAAAGTATCTGGAGTAAAAAACATTTGCTTGATCCAAGAAGAAAGCTTTCCCTTGTAATCTAACATAGTAGGAAGTGAATGAATTCATGTGTAGTTTAGATTGGGAAATCAAAGCAACTCCAAATTCTAACAGTCCTTTCATTATCGAAAAGTAAAAGGCAGACAAACAGCACCATGTAATTATTTTAATTTTAATGCCATGCTTCTTGTAGCCACACAGTAAATCGCCTGAATGTGTTCAATCTGTTCACTTATCTGGATCTGAAAATATAAATCATCTTAAGGTAATTGCACTTGTGAATGAATCCACTGGAAAATAGGTACCTTCCAAGATGAAATGAGTTATGCCTGTCATTCTCACACAGGTCAACTGAAAATGGCAAGATGAAAAATACTTCTTAAGACTTCTTTTGCCCATATTACACATCTGAAGGCTTTAAGAAAATGAACTTTTTAAACAGATCATGGTTTGAAAGGGCTTAACAAAAAAAGTATTATATCATCTCATTCTGTTCCAGTATCATTCTGAGTTCCCCCAGTGATAATTTTCTATCAGATGTGAACAGAGCCCAAAGGAATAAGGCTAAGGATTTAACCAAGTACAGTAGAAGGATTGTTGGATATAAAGGATAACACAGTGATGGGACAGTGATACAGTGAGCTCACTGTTTGGAAACACTTGCACATTAGTGCAAGCAAAGCAGGAGGGGAAGGCTCCCCCTTTGTCCCACATGAATTCAGGTTATAGTTGAGCTCCTTCCCAGGACTTTAGAGGCTATGCGTTCCATCCCAATTTAAAATCACTGAGAAGTATCCATGTGTCACTCTGAAATGAGGTTCTTTCACTCTGGGTTGAATTGCTCCCTCATTGCCAAGTGACAAATGGAATTCAGCACAGCCTTGCTCCTCAATTTCTGTTCCCAAATCCCTCCAGCAATACAGTCTAGGGCTTCAAGCCTATTCAAGTTTACTCAGAAGTAAGTCCTACTTCTTTCAGTGGGTCAGTATTCCAGCTAAGGGAGCATAGGCTTACACTCAAACGGGCTGACTGCTTTTATAGAAATATTTAAAGGCCTGGTACTTCATTTACAATGAGAGGAAAATGAGGAAAAGCTGGGAAATTGCCAAACGACTAGGAGGAAGGAGAAGGAAAGTGCACAGGGAGCAGAAACTATAAGGTGAACTAGGCAAGGGCATTTGGCTGTTGGAAAAACTCTGGAGGGCCAGTCTGACCTAGCAAGCTGGATTAGGCCTGTAGGCTACAAGTTCCCAATCCGTGCATGAGAAGGTAATGTTTCAACACCCAGTAGAAAATTACCAGCATGGCTTAACTCTTGCTGTACAACCACAGTTCTCTCCGGGATATTGCCCAGTGTACCACGTGGGGCCTAGTGAGCAGGCAGAAACATTTCTTGCTCCCTTCCTTTTACTTAATGACTGAATTACCATTTAAAGCAACGTTCATTTTGATACAGCTTCATAAAACAGAGTGAAGAAGGTTATCAGCCCTTCAACAGTAGACACTGTAAGTTAGCCTGTGAGGCTCAGCTTGGTTGCTGCACCATTTTCCTATGTTTTGCCAATCCTTTTAAACCTTGTCCCAAGGTAGTCTCTGGTGTGGTCCATCCTAAGCATTAATATTGGTATTGGCAAAGCGTGCAGACCAGAACGTATGTAGATTTATTGTAGTTAAAACCCTGGTTAGGAACAAGAGACAGATCAATTAGCCTCAGTAATCAGAGAAGCTGGCTGAAATCAGAAAAGGAGAATATGGAATAGGACACATAAATCTCCCCTGACTGCTTCAGTGACTAGCATGATTGCCCAATAATTGCTCAAAGATCTGAAGCAGTGGATTTTCCCATGGTCTATAATGCCACTTTATGTAATGAGTGGGAATGGCTTAAAAGGATAACTGCCTGAAAGGCAGTACAGTAGCCTTTGGGAAATCCCAAGGACAGGCATGGAGGGGAGATTATGGGAATGATAAGGGAAGACCTGCATTTGAAACTTTTAAAAAAGTATATTCAAGAGGGACATTCAGCAACTGGTTGCAGTGTGGAGTGGTGCTGTTCAGGGTGCAACTCACCACCAGCTCATGCCTTTTGCCAGGCTATTCCACTCCATCCCCTGTTCCCCTGACACACAGTTTTCTGTCCTCCCGCCAACAGTCATCTGTGCTTGCAGAATGACACAGCTGGACGCTGCCCCACTAAGCAAGCTTAGTCTTCATTAGCCTGTGCGGGTTTTTTTTATTGTTGTTGTTTTTAAATCCCACTCAGACACTTTGTACTTCTGCACACCCTCCAAGCCTGCTGTCACTTTTCATCTGCATAGATGGGACTCTTGCCTACACAAAAAAAACACATGGAAAATAAATTTGCTTTTGGTATATATGACTTATCTCTTAAAGCAAGAGCACAGTCATCAGCTTCTCCTTTGCCACCTTCCAGGGCTCACTGTGTGATGAAATAGCCCTGTAATTGCTCAGTTCTCAACTCACTCTGACTATAGCAAGGTGCAGCTGCCGAACGGGGATTGGCCAACTGTACGCTACCAAGCCTTGGACATTGCTTGAAAACCAAAATGCTGACCTCACTGCTCTTGATCTGTCATTGGAAGAAGAAATGACACCTGAAGATGGAGACTGGAGAGATGAGAAAAATGACCTCTCTCCTGAACTGTGTTTCATGCAGTTTTGTGCTGAAGCTTGCAAATATCTGTTGAGCTCCCATCTGGGAATATAAGAAGAGAATCATATTGATGCTTCAACATGGAGCCAGCGCAGTGGTGTCTGATGCAGGCTGGAGAAACCCACCTTCAAATACCCACTCAGCCATGAAATTTAGGGAAATGGAGAGCCACTGCAGTGTAGTGGTGAAGAGTGCTGGATCTGGTTTCTAATCCCTGCTCAGCTATGCAGCCAACTGCATGAGTTTGGGCCACTCACAGAATCTCATCCCAACTTACCTCACAGGGCTGTTATTGTGGGGATAAGACTGAGAGCAGGAGAATGATGTAAGCTGCTTTGAGTTTGTAAGGAAAAAAAGCAAGATATAAATATAATTAATTAATTACTGGTTGAACTTTGGCCATTCACTCTTTCACCTTAACTTGTAAGTATGAACGTGGATGGAATAAATTGTGTGCCACCTTGAGCTCCTTAAAATAGAGATGGGATAGAACTGTAAATCTCACAACCCAACACTGCTCTGATTGTGTGAATGGCTGCTTGTTCTGATGTCTTGGAGCTTAGATGGTAGCTTCCAAACATCCAAAACATTAGAGTTGGGAAAATAAAAGTGTATGTCAACAGTACATTAATATCTTTTCTTTCAGTATTAATAATGAAAAAAAGCAATTGCTCATGTTTTGCTGATATGTGTGGTTTGAAACCTGTTTCAGAGCTAGCCTCTTGAACGCTACACCTCTGTGAAACAAGCAACGGCCAATAGAATTGATATTCAAAATATCCACCTTTTTTGCTTTTATTTTTGAAAAAAAAATCAATGTGTTTTAACAGGCAAATATAACCATAGAGAGCAAACGAGACAGCTTAATTGTCTGTTTCTCTAAGGGAAGGAGCTAAACCCGGAATTAATTTGGCTCAGCTCGTGAAGCAATCCGTTTGCTCTGCTTAATTCTGGCAATTAAAGAAGTTTCCTCAGACACAATTAACATGTAAATCAGGCGCGGAGTTGAGGGAGCGCGCTTGGAGGACGCAGGCAGGAACGACGACAGGAAGAAGCGCACAGAGATGCTCTCCTCTTGCGGCGTGTCGCCTTGGCCGCTGGGAGCGCTGGCGAGCCTCGTTGCCCAAGTTAGCAGCATTAAGATTAGCGGCAGTCAGTAGGTTTTCCCAGGCGGGAGGGAGCTGCGAAGCAGGAGGATTAATTTATTAGCGCTGCTGCTGCCGCTGCTGCTCCTGTTCTTCACCGGGCTGATTAGCTTCGAGACAGGGACGGATTAACCCAGCCAGTAGCTCTCAGACTGGGATTTGGGAGAAAGCGGCTGGGGCGGGGGGGGGGGGGGAGAGAGAAAGGCGGAAAGAAAGAGAAAGGCAAGATGACGGGAAAGGACCAGACTGATGTGCTAAAGAAACATTGCAGCGTGATCTGCATTCCGCTGGTGGGGAGAAGGAAGGCATTAGATTAGCATCCTCCAGCTATGTAGCTGCTAGAGCAATTCATTCCCTTATATTTTTATCAGAAGCTCCGGAAAGTCGACAAACGCGGGCGGCTCCATGTTGCTTGACAGTGCGTGCTTCCTGATCTTGTCCCCGCGCGCTACATCAACGCGCCTGGCAGGAGGGGCGTCAGAGCCAAGGACGAGCCTGCACTTGCAACGGTGTCCGTGCGCAAATTGTCGCAGCCGCGGCAGTTCCCGAAAGGGCCCGATCCTGATACTAAACAAAAAGACACAACTGGGTGACATGTCGCTCACAGCTGGACTGCAGCAGGCCACCAAACTTTTGCAAGTTCGCCTCCCCCTGCTTGCTAAAGCATCACTGGCGTAGCGTCTCCTTCTGGCAAAAGCGGCGAACAGCAAGAGGCAGGTCTCCAAAAGAACGACTTCTTCCCTCGCTCGGCTACGGAGCCCCCCTGCGCTCGGCGTGCTGTCGGCGGCCGCTCAGGTAGCGCGTGTGCGGACGAGGCTCGCTGCACCACGGGACAGGCTTGCGGCAAAGCGCTCCGGTCCCCCCCCCCCCACTTGCCTTTCCATGCGCAGACTCCAGGCCCTGTCCGTTTGGTTCCTCCTTTTTTGTCAGTGTTTCCCATTTCCTCAGCGCTTCAGCAAGTGTGCGCGCTGTCCATCCCTCCTCCTTTCCCCTCGGCGAACTATTTTGCGGGCAAACACCGCCCCCACGCCCCTCATCCCGATTCTGCTTTTCTGCCCCAACTTCAGGTAGAAGACCCGGCCGTTTAATGCAGACAAGGCAAACCTGAGAAACTGCTAGAGAAGGAGAGAAATCCTGGGACAAACGAGGTCTCAGTGACTTTGAGCATGTTCTCTCAAGTTTCCTTTAACGCAGGCAATACTGTTGCCTTTCCTACAGAAAGTTTGTGAAAGGGCTACGCCCCCCTTACGCTTCTCAGGTGTTAGTACGCGCGGGTAGCATTCTGAAAAGGGTTGGATTTGGGGGTAGATTTTTCCAATTATGTTGTGAGCTGTTTCTTCTGCAGAGATCCCCATGCACTTGCTTGTGCTTTCGTCCGTATTGTTCGTTGCGGTGAAAATTCCAGCCTCGTTATCGCTGCTTGGCTTGAAAAGACTTAATGTATCCCTTTCAACTTCTCGTTAAAAAAAAAAAAAAATCGATGAACAAATCTTTCCTGGTAGTTCATCTTTCTCGAGTATCCCCCCTTCTTTCTCTTCTTCTTTCCTTTTAAAATATCTTTCAATTTAATTAGGTAGAAACTTATCCCGTGCCCCATAATCCTGTTCAGTAACATTCCAGAATGATGCATACAGAGAATGGGGGATAGAGTAACAAATTTATAACTTTGTTGTTGATGTGCGTGCATGTGCATGTATGTATGGGTGGCTGCGGCGGTGTGTCAGTCCCGTTGGAGATGTGTGAATGCCCACGACTCACGAATACGCGCCCCCATACGCCCCACTCATTCATGCGCAGAAGTGGGTGTAGGTGGAAATCATAATCGGGCCAGTCCGTTTCCACGGAATCCAGCCCAGGATTTGACTCCACCCCCAGCCAAGCCGCTTCCAGTGACAGAAGAGTTGGGACGGAGGCTAGCAGTGGGAAGAGAGGCAGGGCACGGGGGAGATCGAGAGAGAGGCTGCTCCGAAGTCCTCCCCAAACACACTTCAATGACCGAGCGAGCTGGGGTGCAGCGCGCTTTCCAGTGGGGGCACAAGCTGCGCCGCCTGCCGTGGAGGAGTTTTCCTGGAACAACCTTGCCAGCCAGGAGCACTTTTTTGGAGGGGCGGGACAAGATCCTGAAAGGACTTCTCTATAAAAATTCGTCGGAAGGGGAGTTACTGGAGTGGAGATCCGAGTGGCATTTGGAAGAGGAGTAATCGAAGCGCCTTTATCCCCCCTCCCCACACCCACCCTCCCCCCTTCCCCCCCTTCCGTAGAGATGAACACATTGCGCTTGGATCTCCCAAAGAAGTCGAAATATTGAATCGCTCTCCCCCACCCGCACTCCAGAAGCACACATGTAATAATGACAAAGGATTGCAAAGGCGAGAGTGGATCGAGTTTCGCTGAGCGATCCCCTTAACTGGATTACTAAATGGGACACTCCATCAGCTAGTGCTGTGTCCTCTCCAGCTTCCCAGATACATGCACCAACGAGGTACGTGGACTCCCTTCCCAGCGCTGCGCTTCGGGATCTGCGCGGGGCATTGTTTGGGGGCGGCGTTCGGAAGCGCGGGGGAAAGCGGCTGCACCGCCGCGAGGAGCCTTGCAAGGCAGCCGGACGGGGCGCGATGAGGAGGGAGGAAGCAGCCGCGCAGCGAGGAAGGCGAGGGCTTGTGCACGGTTTATGTCGGCGCCACTTTCTCTCCGAGTGCCGTCTGCAGGGACGAGTGTGTGCGTGTGTGTTGTGTGTCTGGGGGGGGGGGGGGGGGGGGGGGGGAGAACCGATGCCTTGCCGTGCTTTTATTTGCACAAACTGGCAGCGAGGCGAGCATCGGATGCGTTTGTTTTGCTGGAAGCGCGCCGGGATCCTTCTCGCTCTTCCTCCCCGACCTCCGCTTCTTCCTTGGTTTGGGTTTGTTTTTTTTCCTCCCCGGCTTGGGGCGACTTTGCCCCGCTGCTCGCCCGGACGCTGCGGGAGGGACGGTTGCTTTGCCGAAGCTGCCGCCGCCACACACGCGCGCGCGCGCGCGCGCGCTCGCATGCACACATACACAAAGCGCCTTGGTCGGGAGCGCAGCCTCGCCGCTCCTCGCCCGGCTTTTCCAGTCCCTCAACACGAGGTTTCCTTGGGGGGCGAGGATGGGCGTGGAGTCTTTGTTCCAGAGACAATGTGATGGCAGAGGAGAAGAAGCGGGGAGGAACTGGGACAGGTTGGCTGGCTGGCTGGCTGGCTGGCTGGCGGGGTCTCTAGCCAAAGAGGAAGACCGGCCGCTATTCTTTGAAGGAGGTGCAAGTTGGGGCCGAGGCGGCTGCCCCCCCAGTTAAGTCCTTCTTCCCCACTCGGGCCAACGCCTCTCCGCCGCCTTCCGTGCCCACCCTGCTCCCTGGGGGGCGCATTCGCGCGGCTGCCGCCGCCCGTCTCCGGCTTTGTTTGCAAGATTGGGGACTGGCGTTGACGCGAACAGGGGCTCCCCCCCCCCCCGGCCGCTGAACCTCCCACGGAGGGAAGGGTTTGTGGAGGGCAGTTACGTTACTTCACCCAGAAGAGCTGGCGGGCAAGGCTGAAGGAAAGGGCGACTTGGTGTAGTGCCGCCTGCCTGTAATGACTGGGAGAGGAGCGAGCGGTGCTTCCAAGCCTGTCAGCTCGTGCGCAGGACGGGGCTGCTCCGCTGCTCCTCTGGCTTCGCTCGGCCGCCGCCGCCGCCGCCGGGGAAAGGCGCGGGAGGGGGCGCGCGGACGTCTTCGCACCTCCCTCCCCCGCTAAGTCCCTCCTGCAGCCTCCTCCGAAGGGAGGAGTTCACGGGGTTGCGGTCCCCCGAGTCTTTCCCGGTCTCCCCTCCGCCAGCCGCGCTGCGTCCCTTCCTAGGGCGCTGTGGCGTGGGCGTGTGGGGCTCTCCGGTTGCACCGCCACTGCACCCTGTTCCGGTGACTTCGACTGCCCGAAACGTGGGGATAAGGTAGCTTCTCTGGAGGCAGCCGAGCTGACTGGGCGGAGGAAGGGGAGATCGCGTAGTTCTTAGGACTAAATGACCCCCTTGAAGAGGTGGTGAAGGTAGCAGAGGAGGAGGAGGAGGAAGGGGAAGAGGGCAGCACTGGAAGGAGGTGTGGTTGAAGGTTTCCACTGGACCACGCGTGGGACACGGGCACGGGAGAGGCAATGCTCGATGTTCAGGTAATGCCATATGGAGGACGAGTAACACGGAGAAGGAAGAGAGAAATCTTCGAGAAGTGGGCAATTGCAAAGTGGTCCCTTGAGGAAAGAAACTACCTTATCATTTGTTTATATAACATGCGATATAATATTTAATTGGGAACCCATTCTAAAGATGCTGGCGTAAGGTTGGAGAGTCAGAGCAGAAATGCACGTGTGTATGTGGAGGAGGACTGGACCCAGCCGAATACGCTCCTAAAACTTAACTACCAAGAGTTAGGACTCACTAGGCATAAAGAAAGGAACCTTTTTTCAACAGAGGTATTACTTTCTGGAACACTGTAAAGAATAATAAATGAAGTGTCTTTGAACATGTGCAGAGTGATTTCTTCACCTTCAGCTCCTGGATCCATTACAGCCAGCTCTACATTTTGTGTTAGGGAGGCAGGATGCCAAGGCAGAAAGTATAGCTTTCCGGCAGCCCTAAGTCCTCTTAGAAACAAAGATTTAACACATTCAGGTGCTCTCCCATAATATTCTCTTTGGCCTCTTAGGAAGACTGCCAGCAGTAGGGAAACTGCCTTTGAAAAATGTAGTCCTAGGGTCAGATTGCACAACTGAACTTTTATTCTGCCAAACTGCCTTAGAACTGCTGGGTGGAAATGGGCTAAGCCTGATGAAAGAAATGGATTAATGGAAGTTCCCCATTGGCTGGGAAAGGAGCTGTTCCTGGGAAGGCTCACATTAAAAAAAAGTCAGGTTTCTGCAATCGTACCACCAAAATACCTTAAGTGAGTCCAACTGTGAGTAGTACAGATGCTGGTGGCAAAAGAAGATGCATGGGGTGGGTGATGGTGCCCCGGGTGGTACACAAGCATGAAAAGCTCTCAGTTGATAATAATGTGTGTTAAGGGCTGTGACTGAATTTGCATGAGCAAAAGTGGGAGCCTGCAAATCCGTGCATTGCTGTTTGTGCCCACTGGTCTGTTGGAGAAGTGGGGCAGAGCCAAGGCAGCTCAGGCAGTGGAGTGATGGGGAACGCCAGACTGCTGGCTGCTGGCTTCCTTAGAGTGTGCGCAACAGAACTAACAGTTCGTCCGTCCATGCAAATCCAGACAAAGCATTATGACCTAGGGAATCCAGTTTGTCTGTTGGAAAGGTTCCAAGAGGGTTTTCTGAAAAGTGTGAGTTTTGTTAGATGAAAAAAGAATCTGCAGATTATTGGTTGACACACCGATTTGTTTTGCAAAAGTTTAATGGAAAGTGTAGTGACAATCCACTTTGGTTGTGGTGACTGAACCAGGATAAATACTGAATCACAACCCCTCTTGGTTTACGGGCAGTTTTAACAAAGAGGAAAGTGGAGTGCTGTGCTTTATTGATACAGTTGTCTGAGACCAGAGAATTCCTAACCCTGCCGTTATTATGCAGTGTCTAGTATGCCTTAGTAATTGTGTGGGGGTTTTCCTTTTCATTCTGTATGCCTGTTTATGAAAAGTTGTCACCATTTTTTGGAGGAACTAGCCTTTGTCTTTCCAAAGAAGTGAGTGGTTGCTTATAAATATATTGGAAAAACTACAGCTTTGTGCCTATTTAAGCACACTGATGGCTAAAACTCCATCACAAACAAACAAAACTTTGGCTACTTGGCTTGTTTGTGATGAGCTAATATTTGGTCATCCACACAGGAAAAGAACATAATGGAATTTAGATCAGTATAAGCAGATCTTAAAGATAATATGAAGGCACCAAGCAACCTTTATTAGCAGATATGCAAGCTCAAATCACATTTCAGAATCAATGTTAATTATTAGGCTAACATTAAGTAAAAGTGGCAGAATCTTGTCTCCAGCTAATATCCTTTTGTGTTTTATTATAATTTATCTTTGTAAAATACAGTGTTGTCTTTGTATTGTGACCTTTAAAAGAGATTAAATCACTGGTAATCTGAGGGGGGGCTGTTTATGTTTTTGTCTAGATACTGCAATGCATGCTTCTGGAGTAATTGCTTTTCTCAGAAATAAATTCATAGAATTCAGTAGGGATAGTTCAATGGATATGAAGATGCTTTAGCAAAGCTTTCAGGACAACTGAATTGATCCTTAGAGATATTACTTTCAAACATGTCAGACTTTTTTGTTTTCAAAATGACAAAAAGGACCCTCTTATTGTAATTAATTGTTTAAAGTTGCAGTCCTGTACACTTTTATTATAGAGTTAGTCTCGCTGAACTCAGTTGACTTCTGGGTGGATGTGTATAGGGAGCAGGGATAATCTAGCCTCTAAACTTTTAAAAGGATTTTCAAGTATTAACCGCATGCTATCTAGTGCATGAGGAGAATATAGCCCTCCTTAAGTGAAAGTGCATCACCAGGATATTTCTCTGCATGCAATAGTTGCACTTGGATTGGAATAATAGTATTTAAACATTGGTAGCTACTTAAAAGTTTAAAAGCAAAAATCTGGATCTCTTGAGAACACTATTAAAAAAACCCTCATATAAAAGATGGCAGTCACTGATCCCTTTCCTGCTTAGCAAAATCTGCTGACATTAGTAGTGATTAACATGTGGAGGAACTTGAGGATGGTTGGTCCTGTATGTAAACACTAAAACATTGTTGGAGGGGGGGGCAGTAGGCAGGGCATACAGTAGATAGGAGATGATTGGTTCATTTGCTTTATACAAAAAAGTCAATGGAAATCTGAAGCATACATTTAAAAATCCAGTGTCCACATATGCTCCCTATGCTTTCCATTAGTAGCATCATACTGCTTTTTTTCCTGCTGATTAAAAAGATCTACTTCATCTACTAAACCAATGTTCTTGAAAGGTAAGGTATTTGTGCACTCAAACGGATAAAGAACATGTGTACTTAACATCCCCAGCTACTTAATGGTAACAAAAGTAGATGCTAGTTATACTCCCTTTTCACAGGTTGTAATTTGAGCGGTGGAGCTATTGCTGCTGAAGTCTGGAGAAAGAGGGAACAGGGGTTAAGGGCAAGAAGCCACCTTCATTGATAAAAAAAGAGAGGCAGCAAATTAATGACCTGTGATAATTGAAAATAGAACTGTGCTTGTTAAAAGGAAGTAGGCAGTTATAAACTTATTTGTTTGCTTGCTTGCTTTGGTGAAGGGATGGTGAAACTGTCATCTGCACAAGAGTAAGAAAAACAATACATAAAATACATGCGAAAGGAGTTCAGATGGCTCACAGCAGCCAAGGACATAAAGGGATTAAATTGACTTCCCCTAATACACACATCCCATCCTGCCTGCTTGCAGGAATACACTGCTGTGCTGTCTCAATGAATGTTCAGTGTATTGTGGAGGTCTATCACTCA